TACGAATTTGAATCATGTTCAAGATTTCAATTTTTTCATGAATTTAAAAAATGGTTATAATTTCAGAAACTGTTCATGAATTAAAAAATCTTCATGATTATAAAATTTTTTCGTGAAATCAAAAAATGTTCATGATTTAAAAAATGTTCAGAAATTGTAAAAAAATCGCAATTTGAAAAGTATGTAATTTTTTTAATTCGATGAATTAATCTTTAATTCAATTTTTTTACACCGTTTAAAACATATCTGAATTTTAAAATATGTTCACCGATTGGAAAAAACTGTTCCCGCATTTCAGAAAATGTTCATGAAATTTGGAAAGAAAAACGAAAAAAACAGGAAAGGATAAACTAAAATTAAAAGATAGAGGAATAAAGAAAAAGAAAAGAATGAGAAATAATAAGAAATAAAGATAAAAACCGCTTTGGGAAGGTTCTAGAAGCTTCCTAAAACCGTTCATGAGCTGGTTGGGCCGGCCAGCGAGGGGGGGGGGGGGATGGAGGGGTCTCTCCCGCGCGACCTACATGCGGAATAGGAATCGTCCTTGTTGATCTCTCCTTCTGTCTATCTGTGCCGCTCTTGAATTTTCTGATGAGACCACGCTAGGCGACTTAGTTCTTAATTTTGTGCACGATTGACCATCCATGCCTTGCCCATCGGTCGGCTTAACCTTTAATGCAAGTACATGCAGATGAAAATCTATTACTACATGCTTTCTTGTGAGTTTGGGGGGCCATGGCTCAGGTTGGCCCCCATGAAGCTCCGCGACTGACTACATGCTTGAATGAATCTAATTTGTTGTAATTTTTTGAAGATATCGGATCCAATCCCATAACAAGATATGAGCATGTGCGGTAATTGCAGGCTGCTCACAAGACCTCGGCTCTTGTACTCACCTGCCGCTTGATCTCTTTCATGGCTAACATTTCCTAAGAAACTCTTTGGTTGTGCTCATATGTAAGTTGCCGAGCTCAAACTCAAATTTGCATTGCATTTCTCGAAACAAGCTTTCACCCCCACTGTAAATAAAGGCACAAACAACCGAACCAATACAAAGTGATGAGGAAACCTCATACAAACAGGTCAAAAGAGAAATAAAACAACATCGAACTAGGGGCACAGCCTGTAGGTGGTGCGAGATGCTGTGGCAATGATTGCCAGGGTTGTGGTGGCGGGGTGTCAGCTGCAGCTTCAGGAATCAAAGCCAAGAACTCCTCATGCCCTGAGTTTGGGGGTGGATCCACCGCCTTTTCTTCTCTGGGCGTCATCGAGGTGGTGGACATTGAGAGCAGGAAGAGAAGAAGATACTTGCCAATGGGGTTCGTGCTCACCATCAAGGGCTTTGGCTGCGGAGATACAATGGCTCCGGCTGCCGACTGTCGGTGTCATCTACGCTGCTCTTGAATTTTCTGGTCGACAGGCGACCGATCTATTTACTCCTATCTTTCATGCCAAATGGGAGGCAATACCTCTCCAGCTCGGTTTTGACAGATTGCTTCTCGGCATGCCCGATGGTGGGCAGTTGAGTGGCTGAGGTCTCGACGAACCAAGTGGCGCAGTCCCCGACGTCGACGAGATATGCAGCCGTGTGGAATGTGTTCTAGATCCAAGTGTGCTCCGATTTCTTTGTCTAGGTTCATCTTCATAAAAATCAGGGAGTAGATTGTAATTTGTGTATTTTTAAGGTCATGTTGTAATCTATATTGTACCGCCACTTGATCTCTAATGCATTCTCTAGGTCGCTTTGGACCCTCCTCTTGTTCCAATAAAAGAAAAAAAAACAAGGAAAACACGTGAGTCGGGTTGATTTGTTTGGAGAGCTGGGAACTTGTGATCTCCCTATAATTAATGCCCTCCAAGCAGATATTCCGGCAGTCGTGCAACGAGCGGTACTGGCAATACCGCTAGTTCAATTCCATCAGCATAGATCGCTATGCACCGTTGGATATCTGTGAATGCACGACCTGTATGAAGGCGAAATTCCTTTTACTTCTTTTATTTACGGTAGTACCATGTATGAAGGCGAAGTATCAGGTACATTAGAAATTCCTTTTACTTCTTTTATCTGTGAATGCTCTTGTTCGGGTGGATTTCAGTCTGCAAAGGACCTACGAGCAGCTAGCATTGTTGTGCTAGTTGTGGAACAAGCTTCATCTAACAAAGACGTTATTCAAGGCATACCCAAGCTACAAAATTGGCAACAACTTCAAGTTATTCCTCTCAGAAGACTAACTAGACATCTCTCAGAAGAACTATGATATTCACATCTAGAAGTAACAGCAGTACAGCTCCCGGAAGAACTATAATATTCATTCTTAAATTTTATCCAACACATGAAGTTGTTGTTCTGCACCAACATACGCATTGGATATGAACCAAAATCCCAAGTACATACTGAGATGAACCAAAATCCGAGGATATTCTTGTGTGCTCAACCTTAACAACAACAAGAAAAAATACTGATTATATTACAAAAGATACAATTCAGAGCAGACATTGTGCATAAACCAGTGAAAACTTACAAATCTTTCACAAGATAAATAACTATTTGTGTCTCTCTAGAAGGGAAAATTGAATTTCTCTAAAGGTAAACAAAAGAAAGTATCCAAAGACAATATTTGCCATCTTGCATATGCTTGACAGTTATCATGCATGGCCTCACAAGCACATCTAGTTAACTTTCTTGCATGTTTTCTTCGCTTCTCTCCCTTCAAGTCCTTGTGTTCCTCCTCATTTGTTCGGAAACCAACTTTGCCACAAAGAAATCGCCTCAGACCACCACATTATCTACAACCCTTTTTTGTTCAATTCTGATTGAAAACCCAACATTGTGTGCATATGCCTTGTAAAACTTCTCGACATCTTCCATAGTCTCGAATGCCATACCTACAAACACCCAGTAGTCATATAAGTCAATGATTATTAGAGAGATTTGAGTGAAATTATGGTGATAATGGTACTCACATAAAATAGGCCACTTGTAGCTCTCTTTTTTCATGTACCAAAGTTTCCAAATTGATCGGAGGAGGGTCCCTCCATTGTCGACATACTCAGGTTCATGCTCCATCTATAATGCAACATCGCATGATTAGTTCTTATCAATCGAGGAACAACAACAATCGCCAAATATCCATGTTCCGTATAGTAAATATACATGCTCTGTACACTGGTTGACCTATGACTTTCTATTGCGTAGCTTGTGATCTTTTTTCTAAAAAAGAATTTCTATGCTTGACAAAAACGGTGAAAATAATGTCTGTCTTTTGTAGCAGCCAAAGCTTTCTCATGATGCTGAAGATAGTGACAACCAATTTGCGTACAAAAACACTGTCTTATCAGTGTATCCTACTCGTCATTCTAGGTAAGCATCTAGTGAATTACGATGCTTGTCCGTTTCATGTACTGGATTACCTGTATATGACTATGAAGAGGCAGCGGCACGTCAGGGTTCAAAATTGTGAGGGGCAGCGGTGACAAGTACTCCTAAGGATGAGTCCCGGCTACAAGAGGGTGAGCCAAGTCCAATGGAGGGCGACATGCAGCCGACGAAAGCCCCATCACTGTCGATGGAAGGGCAGCCATGGCACGAGGCGCGGTTGGCAGAGGGAGAATTGCGGTGGATGGAAGGCCCATCCCGACGGTCGGAGGGCCAGCCGCGGCCGGCTGAGGGCAGTGGTTACGCGCCGGCGGCGCTCAAGACGATCGAAGAAGCAGATCTCAGGATCTCACGAAGGGTCGAGCCCTATTCACCTCAAGATTAATATAGAGGGGGGTTATCTGCTAATGTGCGTTTGAGTGGATTGTTAGGACTCCCACCTGTGATCCATGACGTCCGCTCCTGATCCAACAGTTCACGATAGAAATTTCCAGATTTTCACCGAATAGTCATTTTCACCTGATACTTCGCCAAACATGTTTGTATAACGTACATAAACGGATTAACACCGGTTACCTTTCCAGTGAGAGTGCAGGCACAAATGGTTAGGCTAGTGGTAGGGACAAGAAAGAAAGGAATAATCAGTTGATAGACACTGTGATTAAGTAAAACTGAGCAGAGCTCTGGTTTTACTAATAGACACTGTGATTAAGTAAAACTGAGCAGAGCTCTGGTTTTACTATTATTCTTTGGATGTCCACAGGTGACGATGTTGGTGAACACAAATGATTATCACCAGTACCTCTTTTCTTTGAGAGGCGATTATCAATTGGTAAAATTATCACTGCCATTTTTAGCATCCCATTATCAGTTGTGAGTCATATAAGCCAAACCCTTTTACTGAGGATACATTGACAGTTGCTTAACATGCTAATTCACTAGTCCAGAAAAGGCCCTAGATCTGTTTTGTAAAGGAAATGGATTCTTCAAATTTGAGATTATCCGTGACACCAGTTGCCTCTGCAATAGAAGCGTGAGAACAAAATGTAGTGGCACAACCTTCTATGTTGATGCGGCTCACTGACATGCTTATACACGAGTGATGCCGGTTATAAGATGATCATCAATTGCCTCTTTTTATGGCCAGAACACAAATTATCTCTTTTTAGATTAAGGTTGTCACTTTATCAGTAGAGTACCGGGAGAACTTGTGTCTGTAATCCTTTTTTTTTTTGCCAGGAACTTGTGTTTGTAATCTGACAGTGCTATCACTGTAGGAAAAAAAGTCTATCACGGTACATGGATGATCAACTACCCATGCATGATCAATTCCACGCTGGGGAATAACATGGTTGTGCATTTGTCTGACTCACAACGCGACTCCTCTAGGAAGAAAAGGAGAATACGACAGCATTGGAATTATAAAGGAATTGCAGTAACCATGTAAGTACTCTTCAGTGGGGTTATAGGACCATTACTTGAAGGTGACAAGTGGAGATCCCGCGGTCCTGAAGTAGACAGCAAGATCAATATTCAGGTCGTCATACATGCTCAGGAATGGATGAGCCTGGGTGTCAGAGGCAACAGATAGAAGAAATGGGTAAAGATCAGTGAGCTTGCTGTGTCAAATGACGCTTTCGGACGAACATACAAATTGTGAAGCAGACAGAAATTTCCTTACTGATAGGATTTGAGCAGATGACCTATTTGTAGCCTCTTTTTGCATACTGAAAAATTCAGAAAGAAATTAAGAAAAAGATATTAGCCTTTTTTGGACACTGACTTCCAGTAAATAAAATAAGGAAATCAATTGATCTGTCCACAGATGAAGGTGACTAGGTGAGTGTAAAAAAAGAAACATATGATGATGTTGGCATGCATATTCCAGAGCAGGAATTTCGGCGTGAGAATCACTACTTGACAGGCAAAAGGTAGAAAACCCACCATGGTAACTAAGCTCACAGTTTAAATCTCAGCAAATTGCAAATATTGCTCAAGTGTTATTGATTAACCAGGGGGGGAGGGGGGAGGAGGGGGGAGGCAATGGAGAAGCACAAATACCACACAGAAATGAATGAACAGAACTCTGGTGAAAACTGGTCTGATGGTGCAGAAGGTGATGGTTGGTCGACAACAGCTTCAAGAAGTTCATAGAAGCTATCACGAGGAGGATATGGGAAATTGCCAGTGGCACATTCCAGCATGACTAGGCCCAAGCTCCATATATGATATATCACTCATATAACCATGTTTCTGCCCGCTGATTCTTTCTGGCTGTCAAGAGTATATATGCATTTTAGATTTGGTAGCTGAAACAAAAAATGGTGGCCGTCTTTTCATGCCACACTGGAAGACATGCTTATATAAGTCAAACAAACTTTCACCCACCGCCATGTAGTTAAATGTGCCAGTAAATGTATCTCGCTTTGCAGAAGAACTAGAAATGATGGCACTAACAACAAAATCTGATATCTTTACTTCACCCCTATGATTTATTAATATATTCGATGGTTTCAGATCTCGGTGTATAACGCGCTTCTCATGATGCAAGTACATCAGTCCTTTCAACACCTGATCGAGGAAGTAAAAATTATCGATTGAAAAGGTCTATTTGATCTTAAGGTGAAAAAAAAAACATTCTGATAACAAGAAAAACCTATGTAGTTACTTATGTGTCATTTTACTGGCCTGCTTACAAATTGCAGCAAGGTAGGCCTCTGGAACGGTTCTAGCAGTCATCAGGAAATCAGCCAGAGAGCCTCCATCCATATACTCCAAAGCAATAGAAATAACACCATTGACATAGAAACACTGATAGCATGTGACAACATATTGGCACTGTGTTGACAAACTTAATTTCAACTCCTGGGCAAGTTGCTTGCGTATGCTTTCCTGAATATTGAGTTGTATAACCTGCAAACATGACAGTACATGAATGGGGGTAAAGACCCTAGGCAAAATATCAGAGATTATAACTACCACTATAGTTTCTACTTTCTACAGAAAGAAATAGAAGGAACCAAAATTATAAATCATCAAATAATTTATTTTTTGGGCAATACCTTGAGAGCAAGAAACTGGCCAGTCCATTTTTGGCGCACCAATTGCACGGTTCCACTACCGTTCCCAATCACTTTGATTGCTTCCAGATCATGTATGCTCAACTGATGGTTATCTAACGGCTCTATAGGAGGAGCCTAGAGAAGTCGAGTATGGCAACGGAAAGAAGGCAAGACACAAGTTAGATGAATGAAGAACACAACAAGTTAAGAACAACAATGTAATTAGACAATTCCCACAAGAAATGGTGTTAGAAAGCAATCTTCCACTATAAGCAAGTGAGCATCAGCATTCTGGATACATCATAAATTATTTCTGTAACAACTGCATTTGCGGATATCCCACATGAAAATCACCTATGTATTCCCTCCGCACGGAATTAGTTGATGCTCAAACGGATGTATCTAGCATTGAAATACGTCTAGATAGATCCATTTGAGCGACAACTAATCCCGGACGAAGGAAGTACATAGTATCATTTGTCCTCAATTGTTGTTCTGAAAAAGAACACGAAACCCTGCTCCGTACCTGCTAATCCAACCACACATCCTAATATCTAAATCTGTTCATGTCATCAATGAAATTACAAAAACCAATACAACTACCAATATGCCGAGCGCAGCCCTACGTTCTTTTCCTATGAACGGCTAAGACCAGACGCGTGGAGGAATTTTTCATCTTGGGTGCCCGGTCATGTTTTAGTGGCTTACCTCGCCTTCCTCGGTCTGCGGGGTGATGCGGAGGCCGTCCTTGTTGACGAGCAGGTTGCCGTCGCCGTCCTTGAACATCCCGATCTGCATCCTGTCCCTGTCCCGCGCTGGAGCCCAGCTGACCACAACCGCTGTGAAATCAAATCAATCAGCACGACTGCAAGAGCAATACGTCCAAGGAAAACAAAAATGCGAAAGAAGAGGGGTGAGGGTTTGAGGTTACAGGAACCTGCCCATGGTGGACTCGTGGGAGGGGAGAGCGATCTTGCCCGGCTTCTTCAACAGCAGCGGCAGTGTAGGGCTCCCTCGCCGGGGTGAGTGGATGGATGAGTCTTCGTCCGCCTCATCTTTGCTCTGCTTTTTCTGGAATTAAGCATTACAGTACCAGTATAAATGGCTGGCAAAATTGGCAGTTTGGCATAATTGGTCAACGACTTGGAAAAATATACACAGTGCACAATAAGACAGTATGTACATACTACATACATACATAGGATATGTAGACGAAAATAAACATACAATTGCAATCTTACTTAATCAAACAAACCTCATAGTAAGATTCTTAGGAATTACAGTCCTCTACAATACTTCAAATTTTATTTGAATCAAAAAGACCTTGGCATCGTCTGTTGTTGTTGCAACTACAGATTTTGTTTTCAAGAGGATTCTACTGAGACTGCAAAAGTGGTATTCTATCCCAAGAGCAAAGCTTTTGATACTAACGACATGATCCATTTTGGGAGGCGCAAGACGGCGCTGAATCCACCCACATATCCACTACTGATTCAGCTAGATGAAAATACTGCAGAAAATGCAAGTCCCGGCTCCTCTCTGCTATGTTAAGGAAGCTATCATCTTAAAAAAGTTAAAACCGGCTATAGCCACCAAAAAGACGTGGTGTGCTACATGAAAAGCTTGTCTATATGAAAAGTGTAGTGAGAAGAGAAGCTCACTTTTGAAAAGCCACAATATTTGTGATGTCTTATTTTCTCGTCCGGATAAGTAAAATTTCTATACTCTGATCATTTTTAACAATGGATAAAAAAAGCGTTATTCTAGGCCCTATGTGAAAAGCTTGTTTGTTTACCATAGCAAGGCTAGTAAGAATAAAAGCACCCCGCAAAAAGAAAAGGTGAGAAGAAAAGCTCGTAAAGAGGTTTTGAACTTCCTAAAAAAAGTTCTAGAAACCAAAAGATTGCAATTTCACATAGTAAACACCTCATTAGAAACTCCAGCATCCTAGACGGGATAAGCTGGAGACAACGATGATGTTAGAGACAGCTGCAAATTCAGCCGGAGATAAAGATGAAAAAGATCAATAATACATTCGTGACCCGATGGCTAACCAACATGATGTGATTTCTCTGCAAACTGAACCACACTGTTTGTCTCCGGGGAAGCTCTGACGGAAACCGCCTTGACAGTGACACGAACGCTTAGGACAGGCAGTTCTCACTGTCAACCTCTCTTTCATCCCCAAGGGCCCAGATTCCACAGCAAAAATCAACGGCTAGTCCAGCAAACCTGGCGTGTTGCGGTTCCTGTCCCCATGTTGACAGCTCTGGAATCTGGTGGCTGTACGAGGTCCGGCTATAAGATGCCACGCTACAGAATCACTAGCTGCAGGCCCAGGACATGAGCCTGATTGTACTAGTACTACTGCCCCTGGAGTTAGTAA